GTGTGTGTGTGTGTGTGTGTGTGTGTGTGTGTGTGTGTGTGTGTGTTTCTTCTGAAAAGTCAGAGCCGAGACCCTTGCCCAGTGCCTAACGAGCCTTTAACATTGAGGAGCACCTCCACAATCTGTAATCTTTCGCCCCCCATTTGGCAGATGGAGACAAGAGACAATGGGCGCGCAGAGAGGACTGGCTTGCTTTTCCGATGCCCCATGCAGTCCCTTTACTGAGTTCCTCCAAATTGAGCTGCCTTTCGTTTGGCTCCCAACATATGGCGGCCCCCAAGCACAGTAGAATAAAATGCTGCGTGGTAACCACGTCATGTCGCCGGTTGGCCGTGGGTTGGACCGTTGCGATCCACGGAGTGTTCATTGGCCGAGTTTTAGAAGTGGGTTTCCAGGCCTTGCCTCCTGGTCTGTCTTAGTCTAACAGCTTTGCCTGACACCTGTTCAGCATCATAGAAGCACATAAGTCTCCTCTGAGGGAGGGGTGGTAGCCAGGCAAACCGTGGGGTGGCTAGAAATCACACCAGGCAAGAGTTTTACCACTGCACAACCAACCAGCATCTCCACTTGCTACCTAGGAAGTATAGGCAGACAGTAAGCAAGAGGCTATTTACTTCGGAAATATCCTCACTAAAACTGCAAATGTATAACAGGAGATGTTTCACACAGAGTTTTCGAAGACCCAAGGTCAGTCCTTTCTTGCGCTCACCTCCCGCTTCCTTGATAAGCGAGTAACACTGTCCCGTTTTGTCTCTTTGTTTTTCCAAATGCCAGCATATAAATAATGACCATATCCACGGGGAGAAGAAGGAGTTCGTGTGCCGGTGGCTGGATTGCTCCCGGGAGCAGAAACCCTTCAAAGCCCAGTACATGCTGGTGGTGCACATGAGAAGGCACACAGGAGAGAAGCCTCACAAATGCACTGTGAGTGCCCACAGGGGAAGCCACTAATGGGTGGAGGGGGCTCAGGTTGCACAAACAGGCGTCCAAACTCACCCCGTTGGGGCTTTAGCATCTCCTGAGGGGTGTCCAGGCAGGCAGGCTAGACAGCACGGGAGAGGAGGGGAAGAAGGGTTGAGCGGTACACACCTGGTTTCTGAGAGAGGGTTTGTACATGAAGAAGGCGGGAGCCGGAGAGTCGCGATTAGAAGAATTTTAGGGGATGTTGGAAGTTTTCTTTGTCTGCTCTGTTCAACCCTGTAGGCACTGGCCACATGTGAGCACTTGAACTAAGGCTCCTCCAACCTCAGAAGTAATTTCTGGCATTCAATTTAAATTTAATGAATTTCCATGTCAATGTAAATAGCCCCATGTGGCTAGTAGCTGTGAAGCTGGACAGCACAGCTTTGAGGGGGGCAGGCAGGTGGCAGTAGGGACGACTGGCATTGCAAATAAGAACACAGCCACCCTACGCATTGCTAATGACACCCATGAACTTGGAAGGCTCGGAAGGTGCCAGCTTCCTAGTTAGAAAGTGTAAGTTGGCATTTGGACAAAGCTAATCTCTGTAGCTGGTTTTAGCATTTCCCCCTGTTTTTTCTCTCGGGCCCCCACGGTGTGGTACAGACTGTTTACTGTAGCCTGGGGTTCCTGCAGGTTTAAGCCTTCCTCGACTGAGTGGCATTGGGCATCCCTTAGCCCCTGGTACTTTACATCTTAAAGGCCCTTCCCAAGCCTGATCAAATTCCATGTCTTTGTATGGCCACAAAGCCCTATTAATGAACTTTGTGCTGAATCCGAAATCAGTGGGAATTCGAGGAGATCCATGAGCAGATAATGAAGCCCATTGTCCACGTTGAGCGGTCCATTAAAAAAAAAGAATTCAAACACTTCAGGACTTTCACCAGCCCTGAAAGTGCTCTATCTTGAATGGCACAGAGCCACAGCTGAATCCCAATAAATGCAGTGTAGTGGACTTTTGTTATTTGGTTTTGGAAAGCTGCTGACCCTCGAAACATCGGTTTTTCATCTGTTTTCAGGGGGTTTAGGCATAATCTGCTATTGTGCGGCGTAACCCCCCTCTACCTGTTGTCCGCAGTTTGAAGGTTGTACAAAGGCCTACTCGAGACTGGAGAACTTGAAAACCCATCTGAGGTCGCACACTGGCGAGAAACCGTACGTCTGTGAGCACGAAGGCTGCAACAAGGCCTTCTCCAATGCCTCCGACCGCGCCAAGCACCAAAACAGAACGCACTCCAACGAGGTAAGGGCTCCGCCGCGCAAAGAGCGCTCGGCTGGGAACCAAGGGCCCTCAAGGGGAATGTCAAGAGGAAGGCAGCACCCCGTTGGGGTTTTATTTTCTCCAGGCCATTTCCAGCATGAGTGCGTCCTGAAATTCCAGGGGCGGGCTCAGTGCTTCAGGAGTAAGGTGGAGAAAAGACGCTGATCATGAAAGGAATGCCTCTGGAGAGGGACCTTCTGGAACACACACACACACACCCCCGCAAGCGTGGTGTGGGGTTGCTGGGAACCTCCACCTACCGGTCAGCCAGTCGGGGTGTTTAGTTTAGATTTCCCTCTGAGGAGCAGGCACCCACACTGAGAGGATCCTCTAAACACAGAGGATGGATTCAGAAGCAATTATGTTGACAGCTGACAGCTAGCTCACTGTGAAGACAGCCACCACTTGTTTTCTCCAGGTGGTATCTTCAAATGCACTCTAGACCCCACCACCACCACCTAGTCCCCACCCCATCGCCCCCAGCCCCCCAAAAAAGACTTACACAGATGCATCAGCCTTGGCTCAATAGAATTTCCAGACACCTGAAGTTCCCCGTGCTCTTGGGAGACAGTCTCAGAAACCCGGAATGGTTTCTAGTCAGTTATATAAGGTAATATATTATTAGGTTAAGACTTCACGGCCGGGGCTGGTTTCCTGCGGTGTTGCTGCTTATTGCTGTTGTTGTTGTCGTCGTCTGGTACTGTCATTATTCCAGGGCCCAGGGAAACACAGGGATGGAAGTGATTTTGAGCTGTCATTTGCTTGCATTGCGCTAGTTCATGCCAAGTGTTGGTGGCAGCAAAGCCTGGGCACCACGCTTTGTGACTGTGTGCATGTGTTTCGAGGCACACGAGCAGGCATGCACTCGTAGCTGTTGTTTTTCTTGGAAAGCTAGGGTTGGTGAATCCTCGCAGCCTCATTGCACCTCTGACTAGGTCCTCCATGCATACGCAACAGAACAAGTAGCCTTTTCAGCATGGATGCTGGCCTAGCTCCCTGCTTCCTCTCGTCCCCATCCACACACACGAGGCCCCTGCACCCAGGTGTGCCTGCTGGCGGAGCGCCCTGGCCCTGCAGTGCAGTGAACAAGCGCAAGGCCAAGAGCAGACTGCTGTAAGGTAATAGCGCTAATCACTGGAGCTATTCTCCTCTCCCTAATGCATAGAATGCGATGTGCTCATTTCATTATATATATGCGGCAAATCGCACGAGCTCCTGAATAGAAGTAATTCGTCGTTAATGGGAATCGATTCTACCCAAAGGCATCTCAAGTTTGGAGGTACAGTCTCTCAGGATAATTTTAGGAGCTTTGCCTCTGTGCATTAGGGCATTTCAGCATTTTTAGGTAGCATTCAATCGTTCTGGGGCTTTTAGTGAAAAAGCATCTCTTAGACCTATATATTCTAAAAGACTGGACATCTTTTTTAATGTAATGGGTATGCTTTACTTGTCATGACTTTCATCAGTATTGCTTACCTAATAGCTCATACATAGGTAGATGAGGGTAAGTCAAAAAGTGTTGCTACGAACTTCAAGAAACTTCATTGAAACAAACATTCTCGAAATGTAAAGCTTCTCCTTCCCAGTCTGTCCTTCCGCTAGCTCGGTGTCCTTCTGAAGGCAGTGACTCCCTCATTGTAACCCTTCTCCGGAGAACTGTCTGCTCTTCCGTTCCATTTACACCAGGTCCAAATGGCAGTTTGGTCATCCTTGGGCAACTCAGATCATGCTCCCTTTAAATGTCCATTGAGTTTCAGGAGCAACAAGAAACCTGGAGGGTAAGAGACAGGATGTCGGTTGGATGGGATAAGGGTTCTTAGGGAAATTCTTAGAGCATACTCTTACAAGGGCAAGTGTATTGTTCCAAAACCACACTCGGTGCCATTGAGTCCAGGCTGACTCCTAACAATGTCCTGTGGGTTCCCGAGACTGGAGCAGTTCGTGGGAGCCCAGTCTGTCACCCGTAGAGCTGCCGGGGGTGTCAAACTGCCAACCTTGTCGATTGCAGCCCAATGCCTCCCCCCTAGACCACTAGCGCCCCTTCGTGTATTCTTAGGAAGGGTAATTTTCATTTACTTTTTAAATCATTATGATTATTATTTTCTCAGCACAACTTTTCTGGGGTTTCTTTTCTCACTAGTACAGCATTCACTGTTCTTAAAACTTCTTCATGATAAGCTTCCGAGAGCATCGTGTGCCATTCAAACAGTCAGGATTATCTCTCTGGAGCCATCCCCCAACCCCAACCCCCAACCCCATCTCTCTGCCTTGAATTTTACTGGCCCAACAGATCTCCTTAGAAGCCACTGGCTTGACCAGACGTTTATTAGAAGGACACGGAAAAGTGCCCTAATGGACAGAAAACTTGTGTGCAGCCATCAGAAACAGGTGTTTGTTTAGAATGAAACCACCCGGATGGGCTGGCACCCCAGTGGCAAGGCTTTCTGACTTGCCCTCGTAAATGTGTGTCACATACCCGTATGTGTGGGCATGTTCTCTCTCAAGGTAAGGAAACGAAGTCATAATTATGCTGGTGGCCATGAAAAAAAAAGGCCCGCAGTTCTGGGAGTTCAAATATTTAGCTCTGAGTCTCCGTAGTATTTCTGATAACCCCACCTTGACCACTGACCCACATAGGAAATTGAATTAGCAAGGGAAAGGAGGCAACCAGAAACCCTCATCCCCACACACTGGATGGGATAGGACAGGGCTCCCCGCCTTTGAGAATCAGGAAGGCCCTTGGATAGCGTGAGCCTTGAGCATGTCCTACACTGCTCAGTGGAGAGAGCACAGAGCCAGTTGTTGGGATTCTTACATGTGAATAACACATTTTAACGGGACAGAGTGACAGTAGATCTGAGGGCCAGGACAGCCCCAAGAAATTCCTTCATACCATCTCTCCAAAAATGTATCCAGCTTTCTTCTGCTTAGGCTGTAGGCGCCCTGTGAGAGCCTTCCTTCGTCCTCGCCCCCACCAGCAGCGCCACTCAGTAGTATCCGGAAAGGCTCGCGTCTCCAAAGGCACATTGGCAATTTATGTGTTGGAGCTCACTCTGTGTCTTCTCTCCAATTCCACTGAGTACCGAGCAGTGTTCAAATGGCCTGTGTATTAGACACTTAGTTCGTGGAGGTCTGTCAACACCCCCAAGTGCAAGGAAGGGACTTTGCAATGAGACACCCCGAAGGGCCGTCAGGCTGGGCATCCACGTGAGTAACGGTATGTTTTTTCCTCCTCGTGGAATGGGCAGAAACCGTACGTGTGCAAGATCCCAGGCTGCACGAAGCGCTACACCGACCCCAGCTCCCTCCGGAAACACGTGAAGACAGTTCACGGCCCAGAGGCCCACGTCACCAAGAAGCAGCGTGGAGACATACACCCTCGGCCCCCGCCGCCGCGTGACTTTGGCAGCCACCCCCAGGCCAGGTCGCCCGGCCGGCAGACTCAGGGAGCCCCCGGGGAGCAGAAGGGCATCAGCAACACTACCTCAAAGCGCGAAGAATGCCTCCAAGTGAAAGCGGTCAAGGCCGAGAAGCCCATGGTATGTCCTTCAGTGTCCCTCTGGTTTCCGAAGCTGGCCGGGGCGTTTAGAGCAAAGGGGTCATAGTTTGGGGAGCGTAGACTTCCCCCCCATCGTTACTGCACCAGGTGGTATCTGATACCAAGAGGCCGTAGATCTAATCAATGACACGATGGCTCGTTTGAAATTGATCTTTGTAGAATAAATCAGATCAGAAAAGAGTTTCCATATTTCCTACCAGATTTTTAAAGCCACTTACAGCCCTACCCCGTCGTGGTCGGGTGATGAGCACACCTGTCTTTCGTTTCAGAGTGCCTCTAACCGAGGGGAATTGCTTAGTCTTTCTGTCTTGTTTACTGTGATGCCCCCAAGATAATAAGGCATGGCCCCTGTTGTTTGGGATGTCACCATCTAGGGACGAATAGGCAGACCGATCCTCCCCTCCCCCTTACACACACACACACACACACACACACACAAGCTGGTCCACCACAGTGTGATGAGGGCTTTGATATGAGGAACCTGGTGGCACATGGTGTTTCTATGTCAGGCTGCCAACCAAGAAGTAAGGTCAGCAGTTCAAAACCACCTGCCACTCAGAGAAAGATAAAGCTCTCTACTCCTGGACAGAGTGAGAGCCTTGGGAAAACCCAGGGGCAGTTTGCTGTGTCCTATAGGGTCACTAGGAGTCAGAATCAAGTTGATGGCAGTGAGTGGGCATACAGAAGGGTCAAGAGCGAGCTAACCTTGCACATGGTCAGCTGGAATGCAGGGGGGTGGGGGGGCGGAGGGGAGTGGTGGCAGCACTCAAGTTCAGCGCTGAGAGGGGCTGGCGTATGCATGGGAGCAGACCATGTCCTGACACCAGTCAGAGCCATGACCCAAGCAGGACTATAGGAGACCCGGGGAAAGAGTAAGGTCATCAGAGATGGGAAGGGCCTGAAGGGGGCAGCGGGCGGCAAGATGATATCTTAGAAAAGGCTACTCCAAAGGCCGTTTAGAGAATGACTGGGAGACTTGGATCCATTTCTATGGTTTCCAGGTTGTGGCTAAAGGATGTAGAGAGGAAGTGAACAATTTTCATAGGTTAAAAAAAATCCTTATGATTTAGTGACTGAGAAGACAAGCATATATTCCACTCTCTTTGCTTCTTTTCACTTTCCGTGATCAGCATACTATGTATGCTATAAAACTCCTAAGCGGTGTTTGCTGCTGGCCCTGTGTACAGTGGGATGAAGGCCCCCTGGTGTATAAAGGGTTAAGTAGGGGCTGTGGTTTGAGCCTACCAGCTACTCTGAGAGTGAGATAGGGCTTGTACGCTGCTTTAAGAATGTATTGTCTCAGACCCCCCACCCTCAGCAGCTCTAGTCTGTGTGTAGGAGTACTCGTGACTGGACAGCAGTATGGAGGCATTCCAGATGCATGGACTGTCTGTCTGTCTGAGGCATCAAGGAGAATATCTCAGGTAGAAGTTGCAGGAAGATGCCTAGACAGGAAGATTCCGACTCCGTTTAAGGAACTTTCCTAGAATGGAGCACAGTGCAGCCTGCTGGGTCCCTGTGACATCGTGAACAGCGCCCCCTGCAGCAGGCTGTGGCCGTGGGAAAGAGTGAGGATGTGCTGCCAACACGGACAGGGCAGGTGACCCTTGAGGGGTCTAACTGAGTTTGTCTGTGAATTCTTCTAACATGTCTTCGAAGATGACAGTAAGTCTGGTCTGCCTGAAACAATGTAAGGAAGAGCTCTAGGTATCCATATAATACATGTCAGATATTTAGGTAGTTCACCATTTTGCAGAAAGGAATTGTATTTTCTTTTTTTTAAAGCACTTGAGGACTTTGGTAACTTCACAGAAAAGTGCCATTATCTTTTAATTTCATGTTTCCCAACGCTGTTCTCTCTCTCTCTCTCTCTCTCTCTCTC